CCATGACGTTAGAGCACCTACTCTGCTACATACATCTCACATCATTCTATTATTCATTATGTATCAGTGATAAAAATTTTAAGTTAAATAGGTCAGCAGAAATAGGAGCTAATGTTTTGTTTAAAGCCTTAGAAGAATTAACCATACCGCAGAGAATCTCAAAGAATGTGTTAAACATTTCTTAAAAGCGTCAGAATTTGATATAGTGAAGCAGGCTGTACGCTCATGATCAAAAGCTTATAATCTCCACTATAAAGGTTCGTTTATTCATTATTATAAACGTTTAAGCTTACTCTTCTACTTACTTCCAACGACTCTGCACTTACGGCTGAACTTTTTAACTTAGACGTCACTGGCGATTCTCGAATGTGGTTGCGGAGTTGGAAACCTCATTTTTCCAATGCTAGACTATTTTCCGAAAATCTTCGTTTATGCTTGTGATTTTTCGTCAAATGCTATTGAATATGTGAAGGTAAAGTTTCTGTCTTGCAGCCATTCTGATATCTATTTTGCATGTTCAGAATAACGGTTCATTTGACCCCAAACGCTGCGCTACATTTGTGTGTGATTTGGTAGAAAGCGATTTGTTAAGGTACCTGGAGAAAGATTCGATCGACATAGTTACAATGGTTTATATGCTGTCAGCTGTCAATCCGAAAAAGATGATTTCGGTGCTTAAAAACATAGCTAAAGTATGGTATTGTATCATTGTAGCAGTTTCAATTTTTTTTCTGGATGTATTTACTTCATTTTATATTGGAAGACAGAATTTCGGTTGATATGACTATGTATCACTTTAAGGGAGGTACAGGCCTAAAACACGGCCATGCAGGTGCTTTAAAATTTACATCTTTAGAAAGGCGACAGCACTTTGTTTTAGAATAAACTGGGTTGTTCCCTGCGAAATTATTTCCAGCAAAATTTCTTTTTATGTTTCTAATTAATGGCGTTCATCTTCTCCCTGGCGTGCTAGTTTTATTTTTATTCTTCAACTCTGTATTCTGTGAAACTCGCGTACACCCCCAGCATTTGGCGAAGTTTTTGCGATGAGGTAAAATACCTCCTGCAGCAAGAAGGCCATACTATCACATCATTCGATTTCACTTTTCAGCTGCTAATCAATTTGCTCTGCGTTTTATCAAGATGAACGAATCGCACAGATAACTTCATTGCTCAAAAAGTCAATGCATACTTTTTAAAAGTCGTTTGTTTCTAAACGTGATATACTCCACTTCATAGGATGTCCAGATTTATGTTTCGCCTTTACTGTATTTGCCGATAAATCCTCATAGAGGTTTAAGTACTTGACTGCTGCGTTGAAATCTCCTTGGAAAATCGTTTACATATTGTTCTTCTTTATTACATCTTCAAATTCCTCATAGAATTGCTCCATCTCTTCATTATCAGCTTGATAGGTTGTACTGCAAGCTTTGATTATTTTTATTGTTCTTTTGTTTATTTGTAGAAGTAGAATTGCTATGCAGCGTGATGCGGTATCACAACTCACTACAAATAATATGGTTTTCCTTTCTATTAAACTCAACGCCGTCGGTCTGAGCTCGGTTCTCGAAGGCTTTCCAGAGAAACATTTGGTCTGCTTTGTTAGGTTGCACGACAGGTTCGGTACATTTTTGGGTCTCGCATATTCCAAAGACGTCCGCCTTGATCTTATCTGTTTCCACGATATAGAAGTCTATAAATGCGTATGTCGATAGCCTTCTTGTAATATGGCTGGCCATGAAGATCCTGATGGTGTTCCAGGTTCGTTTACCAATTGTATCCTGCTTTTGCAGAGTTATAGACTGATGCGATAACCTGCATATTATTTTCCCGGTTTGCGTTTATATTTGTACATTTTTGGTGAGTAATTGTTTGCATTTCGTTTTGGCTGGCAACCCTCATGAGATATTTCCAACGCCTCCCCAACTTTCATGTAGCTCAACGGATTCAGATAAGTCTAAAACTTTGAGGTCTTGGTCATGAAAGATATCATTGACCAGTGGCGGAAGGCACCACCTCCTAAACCTGCCGGAGCATGCTCCAGCACCATTTCCTGACACTTTCTGAGAAAACAGAACTATTTACAGAATTTTTCGTTTTGCCTAAAACTTTACCCTAAAAAACCATTTCTTCACCAAATATTTTGTCACGAGAAACTTCAGTTGTGAAAATAGTCTGGTACAAATTCATTGATTGAGCGGCAGGCAGTTGTTAATCTTGCAGCTACACCTGCTGTGGCCCTTCATATGATGAAGATGGTCAACTATATGTAGACAAGGTCCGAGGTGACGTTCTGGCTCTAAAATTGAATGAAGAGGTTTCGTTGGTACCAGATTTTTAAATTATCTTCAGCAACATCACTAGTTTCTGAATTGGCGAAAACACGGGTGTGAAATATGATAAAAATTGGAATAACTGTAGAAACATGGTGATATTGGATGCTAAATATTTTCGTTAGGCACCATAACTGGAATTACGCTGAGTTTATGTGGTCATCTCCTCAGCGATGGCTTCCGAAATAGTTGTATTTGATCGGTTCCATTTCTTTCATATTACTTCAATTGTTTTGTGGTAAGTCACTGGCATTTCGTGACGCTGTGCTGTTGTACAGCTGCAGTCTTTTGACATTCTCTGCTGAAGTGGTCATGTCTTTCCGCATTCCGTTCGTCAGCTTCGTTATTGTGTTGACAGTATACCTGTCTCAGATGCAGCGGTATCGTACAGTTTTGCTGTCCTCTGTTTGCAGGTAGCACTTTGTACACGAAACCGCTTAGTTTGTGTAAGGACTGCGTACCTTTTTGATGCGGGATCACATTATTTTATTTCACGTCTTAGTTAAATAGAAAAGTAACGAAAGGACGAATGGAAATTAATGCGACTTTGTAGAATGGTGTTGTTCCAGATTAAGCACGATATGTTATTTCTTACCTGCTTCTCATTCGGTTTAATAGTCTACGGACTTCGAAAATGAGTGTCATCTCATTTTTATAGAATTTGTTTCTAGGCCAAAGTATCTATTGAGTAGTTGTAACTTAGATGATGCTAGGGTTTTGATTCATTGACATGCTTATTGTTATTAATAGATCAGAATATTGTTCGTGCCTTGCCAGTCACCGCTTTATTAAGCAGGTCTCTCAACTCCAATCAAACTGCTATAGACTATCGATGAAGATCTTCAGAAATGTCGTAAAGAAGAACCCTGACTTAAGATTAAAATATCCTTATCGGTAATTCTCCTCTTTGTCGCTTGTCTTAGGGCGGTAGGTTTAATAAAATAGTTTTGTATAGATTGTTTTATTTTGTTATTTTCGTAAACGAAACTTCATTTTAAGGTAATAAAACCTGGAGGTTCAGTCATATTCCGTGATTATGCGATTGGTGACTACGCAATGCATCGCTTTGGTTCTGATCGCAAACTTTCAGACCAGTTTTATGTTCGACAGGACGGTACTTATGCGTACTACTTTTCCGAAGGTATTATTTATAAAAGAGCGGATTGCATTTGCTTATGTTTGCTTTTAGAAAACCTGGTTGAACTTTTTCGGCAGTGCTGCTTTGAAGCGAAATCATGTTATTATGTCCGAAGAGAAACTGTAAATCGCAAAATTAATTTGGTGGTGCCACGAACTTTCATTCAAGGTCGATTTATAAAATCCTAATTTCCGGCATTATGTAGCAATGTTCAAGTGATCAAAGGCGCATTAAATATACTCGCGCACACTTGTTCTCGCACATTGGCTCCCGCACAGCTGGCCTTCTATACAGTTGCTGTACATATCATGTGTTATACTCACGAGAGTTGGTCGAGAACACAATTATTATGGTGGCTGCAGTAATTCG